GTGATGTAGAAATACTGGGCCACAAAGGCTCCAATATTAATCAGTCGCATCAAATAGGTTTTCCCAGCCTCGACAGGGATTTTGGTGTTGAGTGTATCATTGAACAGGAAGGAATCCGGAACAGGCTCAGCGCCAGTAGGGTTCTCAACACGGATAAAAGGGATATCCTCGATGAGCTCATGATACCAGTCGCTCATGGTAATGGTGAGCTCCTCGTCATACATGTCTTTAAAGTATGACTGGTTGTCGTGCACGATCAATGCTTGTCGATAGCCATCCGGGTAACAAGCATCGGTATGGCAATGATACCAATATGTCCCATTCTGGGGAACGGTGAAGTTGTAGGTGATCGACGAACCCGGAGTAACGGGACATTGAGTAACCATCGAAGGCCCATCCATATTATTGGTACCATTTTGAAACATGCCGTGCCAGTGGATTGAAGTGTCCGTGTCACCCAGCCCATTGTACATGTTTACAACTAGACGATCCCCCTTGTCAACCTCGATGACCGGCAGCGGCCACTGTCCATTGATACCCACGACTTTGCGCTCATGGAGGCCATCGGGGTTCGCATTGACCCACGTGACGTTGAAATCGTAAGACACGGTCTTAGCCTGGCAGTACTGGACGAAAAGCAGCACTGCCGTCAGCCGAATCATGAAGCCTTGCACGAAGGCCATCTTTCGACTTGTTCGCCAGACCAGGGAGGGTTATCTTTGCTGTCGCGGAAAAATTGAGGGGGTGGAAAGGAAGAAGGAGGATTCCGCGGGGAGGCGGGCTAACTTGCAAAATCACCGACTATTTTGGTGGGAACCCTCGTGCACCGATAAAAAAAATTGTCAAAGGTCGCGGGTTCAATACCGCCTTACACAGCAATACAAGTGGGGTAACTTTCCCCAACCCCCGTCGGGGAATGACCAGCCATTGGTCAGTTTTGTTTCACCATCTTATCTGATTGATCGATAACGGGCTCGTTCGAGGCAGCCATGGTCCAATCGTCGATGGAAAAAGCAAGACAATACGTAGGGGTAATGGTCTCTCATTAAAAGAGCATCCCCACTCACCCCCTCCGAAAAAGATGACTCACCTCTCCGAGACCAAAGACAGCCAATATCCATAACCTTCCGGGATCGGATCTGTACCCATCGTCTACAATGACATAGTCCGCCTATTCCTTTCCAATATCTTTCATCGCGCGACTTGCCGAGCAGTTGCTACAAACGTTCCGTGTGTTTTTATTTATTTATTTATTTTTTTCAATGAACACCGTTGGGAGACCTATGTCGTGCCCCGGGGAATCAGCAGCCGACCGCACGATTGCAGTCCTAACGCCCAAAAAGGAGACCCATACGAAGCCTGGAGCATATCGGGTACGGCTCCTAGTTAGATCCACGACAGCCTCGTAGTTTATGGAAATCGGTGCTCCTGGTTAACTGGAACAAACACAGGTGTGTTTTGCATAAATAATAGACGTCTGGCAGCCTATGGATTCCATTTCGGTCATCACGGTATCGCCTGCGTTGAAGTTATTTGCCCGCAAACTCGACCACTAACGCAGCTGCTTCCCGGCCGAGGATCTGGTGGAACACCGCACCGGGGGAGTGGGCCTGTCGAGTGAACCATTCGGATCTGTTCAAACCGACAGCTTCGGCTTGGATGAGTACATCGTTGCGATTGGGTTTGGGCATGGGCTAATCTGCAAGGTGGAGTTGTTGCCGTCTGCCGGGTTCGTGGATGACCGCGGCTTTCACTGGCGGAAAACAAGGGGGCGAGGAGAAATTGGGTACGGGGTAGGAAATTGTATTCGCACTCAAATTGACAGTTTAGTAGACAGGATGAGCCCATCATGATATACGAGTCTTGATTTCCTAAATGAGGATGGTTGTCCTCGTCCGACTGTGCCGGCGCGTTCGTGGATCCGCGAATGAAAACAGGCGCTTTATCGACCTCATTTACTGCACGCGCTGGAAGGAACATGGAACAGGCTGAGAACGTGGTTTTTATCGGCTGAACGTTTGTACAGACATCTGTGGTTTGGTCTAATGCCTTTTTCATGCGTTTGGATGGTTGATCTCCATTATTGGAGAGTGTGTATGAGAACACACGATATCCTTCCACTCAGGTACTTATCATAGACGAATATCCTGCAGTCCGAACAATGGTTGTTTGCATCTTCCCCAAGACCTGGAGGATCGAATACTTCGCATTTGTGATCGTACCTAGTTTTGACCTATATCAACATGCCCCCGACTCTCGTAGAAACTCCACAATATCATCAAACCCATACATAGTCGCCACCTCCAAGGGCGATCCCACACGAGTGAGATCTTCCCACTCAAACCCTCCTTTCGCGTCTAGATCGAACCCATGCGCAACCAGCCTCTTCACCAGCGATAGATTCCCCTTAGAAACCGCCTGCAGGACCGCCGTTTTGCCATCCTCGTCCCGAACCGCCAGATCTGCCGTCTCCCCACTCCTCCCCTCCAGAAACAACTCAACCATATCCTCCCGCTCTGCCATGACCGCCAACATAAACGGCGTGCAGTTGTTCCGATTGACCGACCCCCGCCACCCCTTCACTTCCAACAGCAGCCGGACACAAGCAATGTCGCCCCCTTCGACGGCGTAATGTAGCGGGGTCCACATGTCGTAATCTCTCGCTTTGTTATTGTCGCACCGCACGAGCAGCTCCTGTGCGATCTCCACGGAAGGGACGATTGGGTTGTTGGGAAACCCGTCCATGCGACGGTTTTCGCAGACGGCGAGCATGAGGGGCGTGCGACCTTCTCGGTCTCGTCGATTGGTTGTTGGGGATCGATCGAGGAGGGGGCGGACGCAGGCGAGGTTTCGACTCCAGATGGCGAGTTGCAATGCGGAGTAGCGACATGAGTTGCGGGGGATGTCGATTCGGGGTGTTTCGGGGAGCAGGAGGCGAACGATGGTGTCGTGGCCATGGCCGGCGGCGAGCATCAGGGCGTTGTTTCCGTGGTTGTTGGTTTCGTGGAGGAGGTCCATTGAAGGGTGGCTTTTGAGAAGCTGGGTCACTGTCGTCTCGTCGGCGAGGACGGTGGCGGCAAGCATCAGGTCCGAGGAGGGGACGTTGGGGAATCGGGAGATTGCGGCGTCGAGGAAGAGACGGATGATTTGGGGATCGCCTGATGAGGTGATGGTGCGAAGGATGGAACTCTGGCCGGGCCCGATGGAGGCGCATAGGTCGGCTCCAGAGTCGAGGAGAAGCTCTAGAACGCGGTGGCTGAGTAATGTCTCGTTGCTGGCGATGTGGAGAGCGGTCATGTTGGATCCGTTGCGAGCGTCGACGGAGGCTCCAGCCTGCAGGAGCTTCTTGAGCAGGCTGCAGTTGTAATGGCGCGCAGCGAGGTGGATTGGGTATGTGCCCCAGCGGTCTGGGATGTCGGTTTTGGCGCCATGGGCCAGCAGAAGAGGGACAATTTGCCATCGACGAACATTCGATGCAGTGACTGCGATGGCTAGGGATGTCGCCTGGCAGTTGTCAGTGGCGCTGACGTCCGCGCCATGATCGAGGAGCAAGGAGATGAGCTCGTAGCCGCCATTCTCGTGAATAATGTTGGGGAGAAACTGCTCGCGAGTGATATCAAAGCCGTGGGCAAGCAGGGCTTTTGCGATGCGCAGATCATCAGTCGTGCTACAGCCTTGCACAAACATCCTGCAGCAGTTGACTATGGTGTAGCGGTTGGGATCTGCGCCGGCTTCAAGCAGCATCTCGGTGATTTGAAGATGTTCATGCTTGGTGGCCTGCCAGAGGGGTGTGAAAGTCCCATGCTGATGTCCATTCATGTTTGGTTTGGTCTTTTTGCTGCCAATATTCTTTGTTATTTTGATTCTCGTTTCCAGACTATCAATCTACTTACCGCCCTCCATCTCGTTCTTCTGGGCTGTTGGCGTCAGGGCGATCAACGGGTGCACCAGAGTCCAGGAGGCGACGAACGACATTGACATGGCCATATTTGCAGGCTTCCGTTAATGCGTAGAATAATAACAACGGTGGGGGAGAGGTATAATCGAAGACATTCTTGATCGTCCTTTCATTTCCCCGTTCGGCAGCCCAGAGAAGCGGCAGCGAGGCATCCTGATAAAGTGTGGAGATCAAGAAGCTGTAAGCTTGTGGACAGCTGAGGATTAGCTGTAGCAGGTCTCGCTCGCCGAGAAAGGCTGCAACTGTGATAAAAAGCTCTCCAGGAAGCTCTAGGAGTCCTGTCATGGTGGGACTCGATCATGTCGAGGATACGATACATCGGTGGGGCATGTCAGCGCTAATAAATACGGCTCGATGGCTCCATGGAATTCGATCATTAGTCAGCCCCTGCTCAACAGTTTTTAAAAATAACTAATCCATCGTCGTGAAACCGAGTCATACCACATGGTCACATGGCTCAATGGGCAGGTTTGGAATCTGGGTCGTTGTAGTGGAGAAATTAGGCAAAACTTGTCGTGATAGAGTGTGGCACAGGAGAAATATATTTTGTGGGAATATCTTATCCACAGGCCCGTTTGGGCCACCATCATTCAACCTTTTGGAGTGGTGTTTGAACGGTCTTCCCTAGTTAAGCGTACAGATATATATATGTCCCTATGTCTACCTGCCTCGGTTTCTAGAATACCGTGGAGTCCCTCGTTTAGACCTCGCCGCTTCACTCAGGAAACCCAGAATTGACATCAAGAAGGCACAAAAGATACTTCTCAAAAAGGGCGATTTCATCGATTTGTCCATTTTTGGTTATTACAGTAGATCCATATTCTACCGAGAACTAGGCAAGGGGATGAACAAATGGGTTAGTGAAGTGTACATCACCAACGACGGACAGTCGGAACAACACGAAAGGACATCATTCCATCCAGCTATAACCATAGCCAACAGTATACCATTAAAGCTTGCAATATTGTTTCTGTCTTAATCTTTCTTCAAGTTGAAAACCTCTCTAACTCCGTCCTTCAGACACAACATGATCTGAGCGGTGATCCTCCATCCTATAGTGTAGTTGGATATCACGTTCGGCTGTGATGGACACATTGTTACCGAAAGCTCACCGACTCGATTCCGGTTTGGGATAGGCGTTCGGCATGAAATTCCGCTTTATTCGGGAAGCGCCTGCATAGCTGATCGCTTCCATAGATAGGCTCCATCAGGTTAATAGAATTTTGATTGATTGATTGGATTGATAATATTAGATGGCATACTGAAGTGACGCAAACCAGGCATTCTTGAACTCATAGCATGGCAGAAGCCCGTCTCTTAAGTAAATAATAATGCAGTTACACCTCCAATATGGAATGTATATAACAAAGAATATCCTCTTATGTACATCAGTATAGACAAAACCACGGATGTCTTGAGTCGAGTCTCCCCTTCTACAGTCAACAGACATCGCTCGGAAGGTCGAAATTGTCGGTATGCAGCTTTCCTATGCGGGTTGCCTTTTCCCCAAGACCACGCTTTGCAAACCCCTTCCAAATCTCGCACTGGTTGTCGCCATCGGTCAGAGCAACATCGGCGTCAAGAATGGCATCACGGGCACTGATGAAATCGGGGGTACAAGGTTGGCTATTCATAACCGTCAGCAACAAAAATCTCCCCGATTTGAACCCCAAGTGGAAACGGGTGGGGAGAGAAACTCACAGCGCCATCCCATCCATCAAAAGCTTCATAGAAAGATACTTCCCATCAGTGGGGACCCCATCCTTAAAATCAGGCGTCGGGCTATCATTCTTGCCATGCTTATCAATCAAGTTCCACATGACCTCGTAGAGCATCGAATTCCAAACAGTCCCGATCTGATGCAACATGGTGAAGTTGTTGACGGCAGAGAACGTCAAGGGATTTGTCTTCATGGAGGTGGAGTAAGGGTGCAGACGGATTCCGGCTGGATCGTTGTCCGCCCAAGCCCCCATGGTGTAGTCTGTTTCGCGTGTATCACCGGCCTTGAGTCGAATAGCCGTGGGGAAGAAGTCACTCCATCCTTCTCCCATACCGGCCGCTTCGAGACTGGCCAGACAGCGGCCATTGAGGGGACCGCCAGTGAGGCGCATGGATACTGTGCGGTGTTAGTTAAGGGGGGGTGCAACCATAAAGTAGGGAGACTGAGGGGAGGCGTACAGCCATGGGTGTATTCATGGATGACAATGCCGGCTTCGAAAACTCCATCCCGCATGGGAGTGGAGCTGTTCCATAGAAACATGCTCATGCGGCCGGGCGTTCCGTCCGGCGGACTGAAGAACTGGGCATTGTTGAGGTCTAATCCGTCCTGGGCATTTAGAATCACAGGGTCGTTGCCTATGCCGCCTTCGCCGTTGTTGTTGGCTTCGAAGTTGCCCGCCTTCTCGTTGAACCCTAGGTGGTAAAGGAGGTCGTGGTAGGTATTTGCGGTATAGAACAGCTGAGTGACAGACGCGTCGGCGTAGGATGCCGGGTCGGACGAGTTGCTGGATGGATAAGGGTAGACAAAGTTCAGTGACTCGCTGTGCGGTCGATAGTCGTTCTTATACTCGTTGTCGCCGTCAGGATTGGTTTGGGCGATCCCGTTGTTACCGCGAGTGGTCTTATATCGAGTATCGCCATCGCTGATCCAGGTGAACTCCGAGGCCTCGTCGTCCCATGGGTCTTCCAGAATGACCCGGGAGCCTTCGCTGGGGTCATTGACTCCCCAGGGACTGTAGAATGTTAGAGATATAAAACTTGGTGGATTATTCGGGCAATTTGACACTTACTACACTTCGTATTTGGCGCTTGCGGCGTAATCAACCACGCCATGGATTGTTTCCGCTGTTTCTGCGTCGACGTAGGTCAGTAGCCAGTTGGAGTTCATCTCTGTCTCGACTCTCCAGGCGAGAGACAGTGTGTTGTCTGGCCTGGCAAAGTAGACCAGATTAGCAGTAGGGTCAGACCGGGCGCCCTTCGTCCCCTTGAATGTGTAAGACTCCGAACCATGAAAGCCATCAGAGGTGATATCGTCGCCAGTTATCGGAAGTCGCAGTTTCCTCGCTGCTGCCCTCAAGGCATCAACTGGATCCGAGAAGTCTCGCTTGTTCAGCGGGTTGGTTTGAGGGATGTCTCCGGTAAAGAAGGAGTTTCCATGGGAGATCACTTTGCCGTTTTTACCAATCTGATGCTATGAGTATCGCATAGTAAACGGTGATCTGGGCGGCCACACTCACGTTAACGTTGAAATCGGCATTGTCAATATCGATACCGTGGGCAGTTTGGCGAAGATACACATGAGCCACCCCATTGTCTCCCACATAGTGGTCATCCACCACCCGGAAAGTAGCGTCTGGGTGGGCTGATTTCAACACCTCCTTGGCGACATCAACGTAGCTCTTGCCGTCAGTGGCTTCTGGGGTTAAGCTCCTTGCCAGGGAGTTTCTAGAGCTTGTATATTCCGCACTTCCCTGAAGACGGTAATGGGACGGATCGAACCGGCGAGTGAGGCCCCGAGCCTTGTTTGTGGGATGGGCCAGAAGGCATAGTGGGAGGGCAAGTGCCCCAGCAATTGGCAAAAGGCGCATGGTATGTTGCTGTATATATGAAAAGAAACCAATTAATCTATGTCCACTGTACAGAGACTTGTTATGTCCAGCAGAACTACGAAGGGTACGGTGCGGCTTCTTATACCTTTGTTCTTCATCACAGAATCACGTCGTCAAGGGGAGGAAGAAGCGGCTCATGTTGGAAGATCGCAACACTGCCTAGTGGACTGTCCTTGATCATACGCCGTTCAAGGGATCTACAAAGCAATCTGAGGATTCGTTGAATCACCGCCCGCCTCGGCGTATGGCCGGAAGGCTACAACGAGATCAATGTTTCATCATCCAAATAAGGAAATTCTAAATAACGATCATGCAGAAGGAACACTACTCGGGCCATTAGCACGAGCATTTTGCCAAGAACGGAACTATGTATCAAACTAGGTCCCGACGGGCTCCCGATTCGACGTCGAGAGCTCAAGGCCAGACCCTGGCTTTTGGTGGTATACACTACTGAACTTGCATTACGCATTGAATCGGAAACAATCCCACCCCCTTAACGGCAAGAAAAGCCTCATACAGGCATATATTGAAAGGAGATATATGAAACGGGGATATGGAGTCTCTCCGCTACTGGTGGGCCCTAGGGTTACATGCGGTCTGCTTCAAGGTTCAATAGGAGGAGCGCGCCAAGACTACATCTCGTACCTGACAAAGATCGCCTCCCATATGATGGAGCCGGAACTTGTGGGATGATCGCCGGGGTTCTATCTTTGTAGACGAATGACCGCGAGTGATATTGTTATGGAGGGCTATGTCGTGCCCTGGTGGAAGATCAGGGCCCGAGAGTCAATTCGAGCTTCATACGTTCTCGCACAATCGACCATGTTTGGCTCAGGCTCGTGTTAGAGTTAAGCGGGGGTGTTGATTGGTGTGTTCGAGATGAACTAGAGATCGTCTACCGGACCGAAAGGGTTGGCAGATACGTGTAGCGCCTGTGATTGGCAAGGCTGAGGCTTGGGGTTGGAAATGCAGATCAGCGGCAGCGCGTGTCCAACCCCCAGTCACATCAGGAGTTGGGTGTTTTTATGTGTGAGAATGAGATGATCCGTCTGGTGGAGCCACCGAGTAACGTCTAGTTCTGCATTTGGCCCAGTGCGCTGTATACTGTATAAGCGCGTGGATCGATGGCCCCCATTTGATCCCCAACAGGCGTTGGGCAATAGGGCAAGCGGCAATGGTCGTGCGCCTCCAAAATCTGACACGTTCCCCACAGAAAAAACTCGAGACCGGTTTTCATGTGGGTTACTTCGCCCCAGTATGGCTGTGTGCCCATCAAACAACGTACCAGCTGTTGAGTTGCGTGATGCTGTTGGCATCATGCTCCACCACAGTGACTGACGCTCCGAGAAAGTTCCCACGAACATCGATTATATTACCCAGGGTAAAATTTGAGCCGCTACTAGTGACATCCGACTCGGCGACACTGTTGAGGACGAGGAACGATTGCATGTTCCGGCTCGTGACTGTTAACCATGATTGGAGTGTACCATTCGTATCCTCCAGCAGTGATTGAATAACATTCTCTGGAAACAGACAGAGTATCGATATCTATGGATGTCCTCCTAGGCTTATCCTGGAACTAGAGCTGTTATCTCAATAAAGGTACTATTATTATGCTCAATACTAAGTCTACCCAGCACCAAACGAGCGAGTTGAGTTTCACGCCATCCACCACGAAGCCCTAGTCATGGATCATATACGTCAGAGATGAATCCATCGCCCCATCCACTCTGTCACAATCGTCCTCGCCTCGTCAATCAACCCCAGATCCAGGAGAAGCTGGACCGTCCCCCGCACAGCCGAGTCCAACGCAGAGAACACCCAAGCATGAGTGTAACCGGTATGTTCTCCAATAAAGATAGTTTTAAACTCGGTCTGATAGTACGCCGGGAGATAGACCTCCTGCTGACCAGCCATCGGGGCAGCAAAAGCGCCCGCAAAGTTCTCATTGCAGTCAAAGCAAAGACGCTGATGGATGCCCGTATACTCGTCCCGGGCAATCGGGCCATGGAACTCGACCAGGGCTCGGAGCACCAGCGCTACGTACTCCTCCGTACAGATGGCAGCGGTCGACCGCGCCGGAGCTTGGCTAATATAAGAGCCAATAAGGACCCCAGGCCCGGTACCGTTGATGTTATACGATGGATAACAAACCCGGCCGATGCCCGGATTGTCCATTCGCCCACAGCCGCCGAAGATAGGATTCTCCTGGTGCTCCCAGAAGCGGGATTTGAACACCATGGCCATCTTGCAGGAGGAGTCGTAGTTCAAGGTGTTGATCGCACGGCTCAGGGCAGGGGAGTACCGCGGCAAATCCCACAGACGCACTTGGCTGAACGGCGCCGTCACGATGGCAAAATCGTAATCCCGGCTCTCTGGCGTGACTTGCATCGGGTCGTCGCGCTAGGTGACGGCGACCTTCCCACAGTCTTTGGCCGTCAGCCCAGCCACTTTGCGGCCGAGGGTGGTTCGGTTGGTGATGTGCGGCCCGAAGGCGCGAGTGAGAGAGTCGATGCCCTTGTCGATC